TGGATGGATGGATGGATGGATGGATGGATGGATGGATGGATGGATGGTTGGATGGATGGATGGATGGATGGATGGAATAGATAGATAGATAGACAAATAAATAGATAGATCATATATCATGGATCATTCATCATAAACCATTTCTAAAACACAATACATCATATATAGCATATCAAACAACGTATATAGTATATAATATTATATGATTAGAAAAAAGGCATCCAAGCGCGCAACAGCTCGTCCAGCTTTGAGAGCACACTTTCCTTCGTGTCGCGCTTTTTCATGATTTCCTGGCCGGAAACCTTACAGCCTTCTTCTGGAAGCCTTTGTTGTGACATGTTGGTCACATTTGCCACTTCAGTCTTTAGTGTGGCACATTCGTTGAACGTGGGATTTTATGACGGACGTGCTCACTGATCGGTCCTCATTCAGGCGCTTTAGAAGGGTCTTATCGTCGATTTTGTGTTTTTCAAAGAAGGCCTTGTCAAAATGCAGCACCATGAGAATCACGGGGGAATCACAAACCAATTTGGAGGTCCAAAATGTCCAGCCTTCACATCAGGATCTATTGGCGGCTCTCTGTCCTCAGAGCGTAGAAAGTGGTATACAGTAGATGTGCATGACTGGATGCATTTGTGTACTTTCCCGTCCCTGCCACACCAACAGTAGTGGCGGGCATTCCCTTTCAAGCTGGGACGGTCGCAAGAAAGCTGATTGAGGTTCGAGCTGAGGAATCAACAAAAAATGAATCAAGGTCCGCACGCCAAATTTAAGATTTAGGAAGTCCTGCAACGAAACGCTTGGGATCGTCGGATGGCAAGATCCATTATTCTCTTCAACATCCTCGCCCCGTGACAGATCAATGTCCAAATCGCACTGTTTACCTTGCATTTGCACGGCCAATCGACACACAAAACATCACAAAACGTCCTTTTTCTCCAGCTCGGTGATTTTAATGGTTGGTTTGCCAGCTGGCGGTGGGGACCTCACCAATGAATGTGCACGTTTCCGGTTTAGCTGTGGTGTGCTAAGCTGCTAAGATGCTTACGATGTGCTGGGCATCATTCCCGGCATCATCATGCCAGGCATCATTGGCATCATGCCAGGCATCATCATTCCTGGCATCATCCCAGGCATCATGCCTGGCATCATGGGACGCATCCCCATTGGGGCTGTGGGCATCATCCCAGGCATTCCAGTCGGCATTCCTGACAATATGTGCACAGCAGGCATGATCTCAAGAAACACGTTCACGCCAAAGTTACTGATAGAAAAATATGTGGAAAAAAAACACTGAATATCCTGCGCCTGGCATACCTGGCCTGGGCGCCATTCCTCCACCTGTGCTGCAGCTGTTTCAAAAGAAAAAACATGCAGCACGTCATGTCCAAACACTATGCATGATTGCCCATTCTCGCCTCCTGGAATCATGGCTTCGCAGCGCCTAAGTGCACCTCATTTAAGTAAGCTATGCGACACCTCCTTAAATTCAGCCAAAAGTTGCGATTGGAATGAAAACATCGGAATATAGGAGGCCTTTTGCAATGCAATGAAATCGACGGGTCCATGGCCCATGTAAAGTCTTGTTTCATGCCACGACTCACGGCACACAAAAACCTCAGGCTGACTAACTAAGTTTGGGTTTCGGGTCCCTACTTTTGCGTGCAAAAATGTGTTTGATCGAAAAAGATGGACACAGCGGTGCGAATGAATGAATGTTTTTGCAATAAAATATGTTCTTGTGCAAGCATTGTGAATGACTGTATATCTTTGACGTAAGCCTGGGCAAGCATAGCGCGATGAAAGGCCATGTCCACAGAAACTACCACGGAATATTGGTTTGTACGTATGTGTTTTTTGGTTGCATTGAAGTTGTGTAATTGCGATGGCAAATGTTGCGCGGTGGCCGGGGTAGTATGTGTGCGGCCAGCGTGACAGCACAGCCAAGGTTTCTTTTAAAAAACTTCTCCCGAACCAGATGAGCGTCTGCGCACTACGAAGCACAAACGGTTTTGTACACGTGCTACCTATATACCCTACCTCCCCCGGCCGCCGAGGAGTCAGGAGTTCAGGGGGAGGCAGCTGGTTGGAGGGCCCTTGCGCCAGCGACACCACCTCGGCTAGGAGGCTATGCAACAAGACACCTCCCTACCTTCTTTATGAAATTGGTTTTGGCGCAGGCCGCCTTGTGTGGGAAGCCGCACAGTGATGGCCAAAGTGGTGCTGCGAGCAAAAACGGCGCGGAAGTCGGAGAGGCGCAGGTGCGACAGCGCGGTCTGGGCGACAGGTTCCTCAGTTATGTTTCACAACGGCGACGCCACCAACCCCATGCTGGAGTTTCTGCGACGAAATTGAACGTTCCCTTGGCAAGAACCTTTTGCGCAGGCGCGCCCCGCACGGAAACACAACAGAAGGCCGGCAAGCCGCCCCAAAAATTGCACCTTTGCGTTTCGGAAACAGGTGGCGATGTGTCAGCAGATAGGGCCCGCCCCTGTTGCGGAGCGGCGCCACAAGTTGCTGAGCCCAATGCCCAGAATGAAGTCACATACAGAATCATAGTATATTTTTTTGAGGTTGGTGCACCCACCAGGTTCGAGTAGTCATTTCGTTCACAAAAGCAATTTTTGCCTAACCTATCACGGCTGGCTTTCGTGATGGGTCATTCAGTTTCAAGAAAAACATGAAATTTTAACAGGGGTTGACCAAGCCGAGATAGGTCAAGTCCTTCCAGTGGCGCGGCTGAGACGGCAGAACCTTGACCAGAGCCATGTATCGTTTCCCCCTTCGGCGGCACTGCTTTGAAAAAGAATCACGCAAACAAGTTTTCGGCGGTGGTACAGCACATGTAAACAGTCCAGGGAAACGCCGACCAACTTGCATGAGCGCACTGTGCAGGGCAGAGTTGTAACAGCGCTGCACCAAGCAGCATAGATGATCAAGGCAGGGCGGGTGATGTATGGATGACACGATCTAACTGGCAAAGCCGGCGTTTGCATGGGCATCTTTCAGGGAGATGGACGCTTGTGGTAGTCTGTCGAAAATCTCGCACGACGGTCCCAACGCCAACGCGTGTGACTTGGGATGAGGCGGCGACCAACGTTCCGAACCCGATGGCAAACTTGTGGCAAATATTTCTTTGGAAGCCTTGCCAAAACCCCTGTTGCATTTCATTTCATACCTGGGCGCCATCCGGCAGGCCCTTTAGGGCACAGGCGGGTGAAAAAATCACTTACACCGCATCATATAGGATTTCATTGCCGACGCAGAGCAAAATTGACAACTGAATCTTGTAATTGCGTCCACGGATGTCGGTTTGCCGTGTCCACGGTGCAGCCTGCCTGAATCGACAAAATTCCTGAAGTTTGAAGTCCCAAATGGAACGGGGTCTACCAACGAAAGGGTTCCAATTCAAATGCGGTTTGCCCACCTGCTGTCCGGCAAATTGGCTATGTACATGGCAAAGTTCCAATATTGTTTCAAAGCCACTTCTGCCCAACAATGAAACCCAGATCGAAGCACACATGCATCAACACACTCATTCCACACAAATGCAGTATGCGGTGCCAAGGTTGGCTCCAATCAACACCCGCAGGTGGCCCCACCACGCTGCGCGCCAGTTTCCGAAATTGAACGTTATTTATTTTGGCAAAGTTTGAGGTATGTATAGCCCGTGGCCCGGCCCCAAAGCAAGCCACAGGGGTCACCACCACTGAAGCCTCTCTTGTCACCCAAAATGTGTTTGTTTGCATGGAATGCCTTCGTGGCCGCTCTGAAGTGGTAACAGCTGCATTTTGGGACTCTTTGGCAGTCAGCATGCATCCTAGCCATTTATGGCCAATTGCCGGCTGCACGACTTTAACTTGAGCACATTTTTTCCCGAAAGCATTGCGAAGGGTTCTTCCGGAAAATCCTTTGAACACTGACACTTCGACACTCACACTTCGACACTCACACTTACACACACACACACACTGGAAGAGCGAAAGCATCCAAGTGCGAAGTATGCCAGTGTCAAAGTATGCAAGTGTAAGTATGCAAGCATGATATGCAAGGGTGAGTATGCAAGCATGCAATGACTATGCAAGCATGCAATGAGTAGGCAAGTGCGAGTGTGGAAAACTAGCACGGGAGATGTCCTAATGAAAAAACATTTCCCCACTTTATAAATTCTCTCTTAAAGGCGGAGTGCGGGACGAACAGCGTCAACCGAAAGTGCAACCCTCTGCGGAGATCGTGCGTGTCGAGTGCGCGAAATGCAGGCGAGAGTGCGATTTGTCCGGTCCGCGCGCAACCCTCTGCGGAGATCGTGCGTGTCGAATGCGCGAAATGCAGGCGAGAGTGCGATTTGCCGGGTGCCCGCGCAACCCTCTGCGGAGATCGCGCGTGTCGAGTGCGCGAAATGCAGGCGAGAGTGCGATTCGCCGGGTGCCCGCGCAACCCTCTGCGGAGATTGTGCGTGTCGAGTGCGCGAAATGCAGGCGAGAGTGCGATTCGCCGGGTGCCCGCGCAACCCTCTGCGGAGATCGTGCGTGTCGAGTGCGCGAAATGCAGGCGAGAGAGCGATTTGGCGGGTGCCCGCGCAACCCTCTGCGGAGATCGTGCGCGTCGAATGCGCGAAATGCAGGCGAGAGTGCGATTTGTTCAGTGTGCGCGCAACCCTCTGCGGAGATCGTGCGTGTCGAGTGCGCGAAATGCAGGCACTGGCGACTTTCTAGTGCTACTTCAGTACGCGGAGCAATCTGTGTAGCTGGAAGCTGAGAACTGGCGACTTTTTAGTACAACTTGAGCGACTTTGTAGTACAACTTTAGTACGCGGAGTATCTGGGGAGCTGGAAGATGAGAACTGGTGACTTTGTAGTACAACTTTAGTACGCGGAGTATCTGGGGAGCTGGAAGATGAGAACTGGCGACTTTGTAGTACAACTTTAGTACGCGGAGTATCTGGGAAGCTGGAAGCTGAGAACTGGCGACTTTGTAGTACAACTTTAGTACGCGGAGCAATCTGTGGAGCTGGAAGCTGAGAACTGGCGACTTTGTAGTACAATTTTAGTACGCGGAGTATCTGCGGAGCTGGAAGATGAGAACTGGCGACTTTGTAGTGCAACTTTAGTACGCGGAGTATCTGGGGAGCTGGAAGATGAGAACTGGCGACTTTGTAGTACAACTTTAGTACACGGAGCAATCTGTGGAGCTGGAAGCTGAGAACTGGCGACTTTGTAGTGCAACTTTAGTACGCGGAGTATCTGGGGAGCTGGAAGATGAGAACTGG